TGTAAGTACTAATAATTTGTATACTTTATATGTATTGATTTGTGATGCAAAAAACATTACAAACATGGTTGACAAAAATGACAAACATATGGACAAAAATAACAAACATTACAAACAATACAAAAGAAACCAACAAACATTACAAACAATACAAAATAACAAACATTACAAACATTGCAAACAAACATTACAAACAAACATTACAAACAGTACAAAGCATACTACACGTACAGAATATCACTACTTACAATACAGATTGGTAAACTTGTATTACAAACAAATGAATACAAAGTATACAAATCATAACATAAAAGTATACAAACATTACAAACATTGCAAACAAACATTACAAACATTACAAACAAACAAATGAATACAAAGTATACAAATCATAACATAAAAGTATACAAACATTACAAAATAACAAACATGACAAACAAACATTACAATGTATACAAAATAGTAATATAAACATTACAAACATCACGAACTCAATACTGTTGCCGGAAAATCATCCACCACCGTCTCTGGTCGCCGGAAAATTGCTCCGCCGTCGCCGGAAAAGTTGATTCTCTCTCTCTCTCTCTCTCTCTCTCTCTCTCTCTCTCTCTCTCTCTCTCTCTCTCTCTCTCTCTCTCTCTCTCTCTCTCTCTCTCTCTCTCTCTCTCTCTCTCTCTCTCTCTCTCTCTCTCTCTCTCTCTCTCTCTCTCTCTCGTAACCACAAAAAAACCCAACAGAGGGGAAAACCCCCCCCCCCCCAGCCACCGCCAGGGCCACCCAAAAACCCACGCCGCCGCCAAAATTCCATGGACCGGCGGGGAGATCGCTCAAGAACCGGCGGGGAGATCGCGCAAGAAGGGAGGTCTGTACTGTTTTTTTAATTAACAAATAAAATAATAATGAAATTACTACAATGCCCTTCCTTTAATTGAATTAATTAGAACCATTGGATTTTAATGAGATTGAAGGGCTGAGATCGACTTAGGCAAGTGACTAAAGGACCCCCCCTTAGTCACCAGATCTTATCCCTCGCGAAATAATAAAACCCAAAATAATTTACACAACCTCCAAGGGACTTAATAATTTACACAATAGTCTTGACTTTTGACTAAGTGGGCAAACTTTACCGCCCCATTTATACTCTTTGATTATAAATTTATAATTTTTAAAAATATTTTAAAATAATATAAAAAATACAGTAACTGTTTATTTACGAATACTAATACCGAATTGCTTCCTAAATCCTAATTGTATTTATTTACCCTCCATTTTTGTGTTCTTAGTTCTTACTTCTTAGCCTCCAGTTGAGCCGTGGGCTCCTATAGAAACAAATTTTGAGCCGTGGGCTGAAGAACTTGTAAATGATCTTCGAGGCCCAAGCGAAGGCCCAAAGGTCGAGTCATGAAGGCCAACACAAATCCATGTTTTGTTTTGTCTTGTAATGTTTTTGAAAAATACGATCCATCACTGTACAGTCGGAAAAAATTGTACCAGCTAAGAGCATCTCCAATGGTGCATATGGAGGGAGTTGCAAGATGAGGTGGCAGCCATGTGCAATTGAAAAAGTGGATGACATTGATGCAAGACCACTTCAAGGGATGAAAATTTGCACACCATGAAAATCTGACATGCAATTGCAAGTGAGTCCTTTGTTTTTTTTTGTTTTTCTTTCTTCTTTTCCCAACCATTTGTGTGGTATTAAAATGTATGTGGGACCCAGAAGTGCAATTGCATTGGAATGGCATTGATGTAGCTAGTATGAAATTGATGAGTGAAGTAATTGCTAGAGTTGCTTAGGTGGCAGTGGGGACCACACTTGAAAGTGAAGAAGGATTGCATTGTTGGAGATACTCTAATATTACATTAGGGGGGTGTTCAAACAGATTGGTTAACGTGGTAATCATATTAACCAGTAGCATTCGGTTAATTTGGATAATTAGTTTGGTTTGATTAAACAATTTAGATTAATTGGTTTAGATGGTTTGGTTTGGTTTCAACACTGCTAGCCAACTAAACCAATTAACCAATTAATGATACACCTAATATACAAAATTATTTATACTTCCTGTTCCATGCAACCAACCAAACCAAACTTTCGTGACTCCCTATTTTATTTTCTTGTTTACAACAAACCAAAACATTATGGATAAAAAATTAAATGGGTCAGCCTATATTTACTATGGATCAAAACATTTTGGACAACTACTAGACTTTAGGATTACGTACAATATCATGACAACTACCTCAAACTATGTATTGTTTAAGTGTTTTGTATGAGACTGATGAGGGGTATTGGTATGTATTTATGTTAAGAGGTTTGTTGTAAGCTACCTATATTAGGGATTTTTCCATAAATAGCACTGTTTAACAAAAAAATTCCAAAAATAGCACCCAACTCCGAAAAATTCCAAAAATAGCACCATTTCTCAAAAACCGCCACCCGTACCAGCGGTTTAGGCGAAAACCGCCACCCCGGGGCGCGTTTTTCGATGAAAACCGCACTGGTAGGGGGGCGGTTTTGCAAACCGCACCCCACCATGTGGTTTATTTGCAGACCGCACCCCCACCATGCGGTCTGGTTTTTTTTTTAAAAAAAATCCTAACCTAGGTGGAAATTTCAAACAAACGCATCTTTGTGTTCGGGTATTCGATCGTCGCGATTTTTTTTTATTCCGCATAAATTTTTGAGATCTTGCAAACCGAAGATTGCCGAAGGTGGTTTTCATAAAAAACGCGCCCCGGGTGGCGGTTTTCGCCTAAACCGCTGGTACGGGTGGCGGTTTTTGGAAAATGGTGCTATTTTTGAAATTTTTCGGAGTTGGGTGCTATTTTTGGACTTTTTTTTAAACAGTGCTATTTCTGGAAAAATCCCCCTATATTAGGTGCAGATGTGATGAATGATGTATTAACTCGAATGATGATGATAATTACGGATGGTTCGTCTTATTATTATTGTTTATATAAAATGATAGTTTATGTTTGTTTTCATGTAATGTTATGCTATTTGGTTAATCCGATTATCCGATTAACCAAACAAATTAAACTTTGGTTTGGTTAATTTGGTTTTCGTGTTAATTTGGACGGTTTGGTTAAAACATTTTATTCCATGGTTAATGAAATTTAGGCTTAATTAATTTGGTTATTACCACGGTAACCATTTGAACACCCCTAATTACATAGTCAAATTTCCTTGTTGGTTGTGTTTTGCTAATATTATTCGGTAGTGATGAAGTTCAATTATTAGAGGAATTTTATAATGCTATATAGCATTGGTGCTATAGGTTTTTGCCTTTATGGTACAGCTTGAAATTGTAACTTTAACGTTATGGTACAACTTCAGATTGTACCTATACTTTCTGTACAAATTCTTTTATGGTACAACTTAAACTTGTACCTTATGTGACGGTACAACTTTAAGTTGTAAAGTTGTACCATAACATAATGATACAAATTCCTTTATGGTACAACCTAAACTTATACATTTAATATTATGGTACAACTTCAAGTTGTACATTAAAGCATCAATGCTATATAGCATAGTAGAAGTGCTCCAATTATTAATGTTCGAGTTTTATTTGAAATTATAAAGTAAAACGAAATTAGAATGAATGTTTTTGTGTGGATCAATGAAACATCATCCTTTAATATAAAGTAAAATGAGATTAGAATGTCTGTCCGGATCAATCTGCCATACTCAATGATAAGCTAAACTAACCAACATTTTCGACCTTGTTACATTCGGGTTCCTTAATTTTGCCCTTTAATTTTGAGTGGACCAAATCTAAAAGGTGAATCTACAAATTGCATTAGTTTTCAATATATTTCGAGAAACAAAATTTCGTACCACTCATTATCACTCGTTAACATCCTGATATCACATGGTACTACTATGTATCATATGTTTTTAACCCAAAATTTGAAATTTTTGTACAGAATGAACGAGATCATCGCGATCTATTGTGATCTACAAATTTGTGGGAGACATTTTTAGAATCAAATATACCACCTTTGTATAGGGTGGTAACTGGTGGTAGACTTTGATTAAAAGCAACAAATGACGATTTATACATTTTTACTATCATATATGCAACCATTATACACCATGATGTATATATCCGTACCACCGTAGTACACTTCCATTACACATTGTATAATCTTATGTACTATCAAACATTACCATCACCGTATAAATTGGTAATATATGTCACAATATTATTTGTTCAAAAATATGTCAAAGTGAATGTCATTTTTAAGAACGCAATTAATTAGATTTTTTAGTGCAAATAAAAATAAAATATGATTTAAAATGAAAGAGATTAAAATTAATTAGAAAAAAAGTTATATATCTCAAATGGACGGTAGGTTGGATTACTGAAAATTATGCAAAATTGGGTTAATGACCAGATATGCTCTCAAAATACCGCTACGACATTGTTAATCATTAATTTAGGTTCATTGATTCTAAACTTTTTATTTTGAATACAGTAAATGTTTACCAATACTAATACCAAATTGCTACGTATCTGTAAATGGTGTTATTTTCAATCACAGAGTTCTTAGCTGACAAGGAAGCGGAGAGAAGCGTCTCATTGGACGTTAGAGAGATTTTTTTCAAGTGGAATAGTCGCACTTAACACAATGGGCCATCCCACAAGACTCCCAGACTTCGACGACGGGAATCACTTTCATTCGACCAATCTCCAGCTGCTGTTTCTGGCCACACACAGCTGCAAGTATTATCTTCAAGTAGAACGAAAGAACATAGCTTTCTACTACCATTTTTTTATGGGACCAAAGGAAGTCTGACCATGTCAAAGTACGCATTTGGTATCTTAGTAATATCTTCAAGTGGAAGTTAAAATTCAGCATCAACAATTTCCACAGACGAAACCAAAATTACTGTAATTTAATTAGTAGCGGCACGTAGCAGTAATATAGTATTTTTTACTCTATATATTGATGACCAAGGTTCAAGAGTTTCAGTATCAGGAACCTCAAAAATGAAAGCCTTTCTCCTAATCTCCCTCGCTCTAACTTCAACATTCTTCTCCTTCTCCTCTCAGGAAGCCTCACCGGCTTCTGGACAAGGCGACTTACAAACTTACATCGTGTTTGTAGACGAGCCAGCAGCAGGCCGGAAATTGTCCACAGAGTCGTCGAATGATGATTTACTTAGCTGGTACACCTCATTCCTTCCCCCAACCACTCTGAGCTCAAACAACCAACAAGAACGAATGGTACATTCCTACCGCAAAGTGGTCACAGGCTTTGCAGCTAAGCTCACACCGCGGGAAGCCAAAGCCATGGAAGAGAAGCAAGGCTTCATCTCGGCCAGAGTCGAGCGATCCGTGCCCCTACTCACAACTCACACTCCAGAGTTTCTTGGCCTACAACAGAATTTAGGAGGATCTGATTGGAAGTACTCCTCGAATTTCGGCCAAGGACTGATCATTGGTCTCATTGACAGCGGGATCAAGCATGATCACCCTTCTTTCTCCGACGAAGGCATGCCTCCCCCGCCTGCCAAATGGAGAGGCAAGTGCGAATTCAACGGGAAGCGAACATGTAACAACAAGCTCATTGGTGCTAGAAGTTTCTCTGCCCATCTAGGGGATCATCTCCCGTCAGAAGAAATCTACCACGGGAGTCATACTGCAGGGGAAGCTGCAGGGAGCCCGGTTCGAGGTGCCAATGTGTTGGGACAAGCGAATGGGACTGCGATGGGGATCGCACCGAAAGCCCATGTGGCAATGTACAAGGTATGTGGAATGGATGACTGCCCCGAGAGCGGGATACTGGCAGCAATGGATGCTGCTATTGAAGATGGGGTTGATGTGCTTTCCTTGTCGCTTGGTATAGAATCATATAATTTCTACGACGACGTGATTGCTGTGGGTGCATTTAGAGCCATTCAAAGTGGTATCTTTGTGAGCTGTTCAGCTGGAAATGGTGGACCATCCCAGTCTTCTTTGGTTAATGAGGCGCCATGGATTTTGACAGTTGGAGCGAGCACAATCGACAGGGAGATCAGAGCAACTGTGGTGCTAGGAAACAATGTGGAGCTCCATGGGGAATCCCTCTACCAGCCAAAGGATTTGAATTCGCGCCAATTGCCAATCATCGATCCTGAAGCAACTGGGATAAATGCATCAGCAAGATTTTGCGGAGGAGGGTCATTGAAGAACATTGATGTAACGGGCAAGATAGTCATATGCCATATGGGAGGTAGAGTTGAAGGAGTCGAGAAGGGGAAAGAAGTGAAGAATAATGGTGGAGCAGGCATGATCTTAATGAATAATTTGGCTGGTGGATACACTACTTTTCCTTATGCTCATGTTCTCCCTGCATCGCACCTCAGTTATAAGGATGGAAGAGCAGTAATGGATTACCTGAACTCCACGCAATCCCCAACTGCAGCAATCAAATTCAGGGGTACCTTGATTGGCAAGTCAATTGCCCCACAGGTTGCCTTCTTCTCTTCCAGAGGGCCTAGCTTACAATCTCCAGGGATCCTAAAGCCTGACATCATTGGACCCGGGGTCAACATTTTGGCTGCTTGGGGAGTCTCGGTTGACAATGCTACTAACCCGTTCAATATTGTCTCGGGAACTTCAATGTCTTGCCCGCATCTTAGTGGAGTCGCAGCTCTAATCAAGAGTGCCCATCCAGATTGGTCCCCCGCAGCGATAAAATCAGCCATTTTGACCACTGCTTACACATTCAATCGTGGTGGAAGATCAATCACTACGGAGCAGAACGTTTCTGCTACCGTCTATGATATGGGTTCCGGTCACGTGAACCCACTAATGGCCTTGAATCCGGGCTTAATATACGACCTCCAACCAGATGATTTTATTCCTTATCTATGTGGGTTGGGTTATAATGACACATCGATAAGATTGATCGTGCAACGAAAGGTGAAGTGCTCCACTGAACCCTCCGTACCCGAGGCGCAACTGAACTACCCAACATTCTCCATTTCGTTGGGCTCCGGTGATGAGAAGACTTACACTAGAACAGTCACAAATGTTGGCCTGCCACACTCAACTTACACTTGCAAGGCTTTATCTCCGGAAGGCGTTGATGTTAAAGTCGTACCTAGTGAGATCAACTTCAAGGAGTTGAAAGAGAAAGCAAATTATTCCGTGACATTTACAAGATTGAGAAATATCATGGCAAGAAGTAACGTTAGTGAAGGTTACTTGGTATGGTCATCAAATGAAGATGAATATAACGTTGTGAGCACTATTGCGGTCGTCTTTGTCTGACATACTCTATTGAATTCCCAAACGTTTAAACTTTGAACTCCTTCTAGTGGGCATGTCAAGAGAGGGAATTTCTTGTATATGATATGTTGTCACAAATGTGTTTGAATGGTTGTACGTAGTTTGTGCATCACAATTTAAATATTTATCTGTATGTTCCTCAATATTAGTGAATCCATAAACTGTATTGCCGCGATCAAGCCTGTTAATTCCTAATTGATTCCGATGTTTTAAACTTGGCCCAATTACAGAGTTGTCTTGCGGGTCGGACAAACTTAATTAGTAATAATCATCATTTGGGCGGGGAAAAAAAGGAAATTAAGAAGTTGATGAGACGGATTGATATACTCCTGTCGGAAATTAAGGAGAGGTTTCTAAAAAAAATAATAATAATAATAATAAGGAGAGGCCAAATTTTTATTTTTTTCATTAAAAGAAAATTAGAAATATTTATTTTTTTCATTAAAATCCCACTAAACAAACCATAACCATAATATGATAAATATAGTTAAATTATTGTGGTTCTCACCTATTACAAGTTCATATAACTAAAATATGAGGTACTAAAAGTGAAATACTAAATAATTTGGGTAAAATTACATGTAATTTAAGCACAAAAAAAATGGGTCGAGGATGGGGTGGGCCAAGGCATGTCAACTTGAGGAGAGTACTCATACTCGCCCCACCTTGTCTATTGGACATGTATTATCTGCCCAAAACAGTGGTAAAACGGGTCAAATCGAAATTGTCATTCTACGTAGTAGTTTGTATTTGTATCTTAATATATTGATGAACCTGCCATCAGAAAATCGCTTGAACCTCAAACCCATGCAAGTAGCTTCTTGGTATAGTTATAATGGTCTCTCTCCTTCATTATTTTCTAGATTTCACTCTTGAATTTGTGCAACACTAAATTTAAAGCTGTAGAACCGTTAACCAAGGTTGTATAAAATAAGTTAGTGATAAGATTTATTGTACATAAATCGTAGTTTAATTATAATTTAACCATTTCATACAACAAAATTCTATACTGATTTAGATTTCGATAAGTGATTTTTCCGGTCAAACCAACATTATGGTACAGTTAGCAAACACTGCTCCAAACAACACACTTTGAATTTTATGCTTGTAATAGGTTACCAAGCTATGGGCCACAACACAAATACCCATATGGTTAGGGCTGCGAAACGGTGCGGTTTGGTCCAGACCAGACCATATATACGGTCTACTGTCCAGACCGAGAGGCTAAAGTATAGACCACAGACCAGACCACTGACTATACGGTCTGGTCCAGACCATGCCTGTGCGGTCTGGTTCGGTCTGGTCTGGTCCAGATAGACCACACTCAACGAAAAATGAATAATTTGTTTAGTCAACCACACAAAAAATTAAACCAATAACCAAGAAAAATAATTGTTATTTGCCTTAAAACATTAATCCTAACATGCATGAATAATTTTGATACTCTAAATCTTAGTACATAACAAAGATACAAAGTAAAAGCATCTCAGCTTGCACCATAATGTCATAAACATTAACATAATGTCATATGGAGACACGATTATCTCTACTGTGTGGTTAAATGTGGTTGTGAATGAAGGAGGGAAGAGATTCACAAAATTAAGGTTGAGACTTGGGTGTCGTTGTGGGAGTTTGGAGAGTGGTCGAATGGGTTGTTAACACGTATTGACAAGTTAGTTGGGTCTACGGTTTGGTCCGGTAAACCGCGGTCTAGACCAGACCAGACCAAGAGATCAAATCATAAATAATACAGACCATGGACCAGACCAGACCATACTTCACGGTCTACGGTCCGGACCAAACTGTGCGGTACGGTTTGGACCACGGTTTTTCTAACGGTCTGGTCTATTTTCCCAGCCCTACATATGGTACCCTTATTGTGTTCACCTTCCATTTTTGGGTTTATTGCCTTCAATTCTTCACCCATGGGCCGAAGAACTTTTAAATGATCTGAAAGCTAAATTAATCAAGTGGGCTGAGTTCTTAGTAAGCCCAAACAATATAAAGCATTGCCAAAAGCCCAAAACAACTCCCCACCGGTGGCGTCTTCTGTACGAACGGGAACCATCATCGTCCAGAGTCGAGACGACTAGTCTTCTTCTTCGTTCCTTTTCCTTCCATGTTATCCATCAACATATCGAAGAAGTCTTTTCTCAACGGGCAACAATCAATCACAGAGTTTTGAGCTGTCACGGAAGCGAAGAGAAGCGTCTCATTCGAAGTTAGAGAGATTCTTCAAGTGGAATAGTCGCATTTCACACAATGGGCCATCCCACAAGACTCCCAGACTTCGACGACGGGAATCACTTTCATTGGAGCAATCTCCAGCTGCTGGCCCCGCCACACTGTAAGTACTATCGCTCTAATTCCACTCTCAACACTTTGAAGCATAGCTGCCAGTGGAGATTCACAAATGGGTTTGATGATTTTGCTCAAATAGAACAAAAGAACACAGCTTTTTTCTACTATTGATGGGACCAAAGGAAGTCTGACCTTGTCAAAGTACATTAGGTAAACTGAGTATCTTAGTCTCACATATGCAGACAAACTATCAAGACTGAAACTTCTCCAGCTCTTACGCCGAAAGTGGAGCAGAGAATCCAGCACCAACAATTTCCAACTGTTCTGGGCCATTCTTAAACTTCAGGTACTATATAACTGATGTTTTGTTAACTGCTTCAATTCAAGCACTAACAAATTCACTCCCTTTTGGTGCATATAACAATGTTGTCAGCCAATTCATTCATCCTTATCATTCTTTTCATGATCATGTTCAGATTGGGCTTGTGTCAAGCAAGCACTGAGCTGGTAACCAGTGATGTTTCAGAAGAGAAGGACTTGTTGGAGACTTACATTGTCTTTGTAAACAGACCAAAACGAGCTATTGTCAATGCACAAGAACAACAAGATCTAGAAAGATGGTACCAGTCGTTTCTGCCAGCTGCCACAGTCTCAACAAGCTCAGCATCCCACCAGCAGTCCTCGCGCCTTGTTCATTCCTACCGGAGCATTGTCACGGGCTTTGCTGCCAGAGTAACTGCCGCAGAAGCCAAAGACATGGAATTGAAACAAGGGTTTGTTTCAGCCTGGCCAGAGAGGATGCTCCAAGTCCACACGACACATACTCCTGCCTTCCTGGGCCTCCATCAGAATTCTGGGTTTTGGGACTACTCGAACTATGGGGAGGGAGTGATCATAGGAGTCATAGACACAGGTGTTGCTCCTGATCACACTTCATTTAATGATGAAGGAATGCCTCCCCCACCTGCCAAATGGAAAGGGAGATGTGAATTCAATGCCTCATTGTCATGTAACAACAAGCTAATCGGTGCTAGAAACTTCGTCCCGACAGCTAGTCAACCACTTGATGATAATGGTCACGGGACGCATACATCAAGCACAGCTGCAGGGAGCCCTGTTGAAGGTGCTAGCTTCTATGGTCAAGTCAATGGGACGGCAGTAGGGATGGCACCTAAGGCTCATTTGGCTGTGTACAAAGCCTGCTTTGCATCTGGTCATTGCAGGGAGAGTGATGTGCTAGCTGCAATGGACACTGCAGTAGAGGACGGAGTTGATGTTCTCTCTCTGTCTCTGGGTTATGGATCACTTCCTTTCCATCAGGATTCGGTGGCCATTGGTGCATTTGGGGCGATTCAGAAGGGTGTTTTTGTAACTTGCTCGGCTGGGAATTCAGGCCCAAGGCTTTCATCGTTATCCAATGAAGCCCCTTGGATTTTAACTGTGGGAGCCAGTACTGTTGACAGAAGTGTAAGAGCAACAGTAAGGCTAGGGAACATGAATACTGAGATTCATGGGGAGTCCTACTTCCAGCCTAAAGATTTTGCTTCAACTATGTTGCCTCTTTTTTATGCCGGCAGTAACAGAAACGCATCATTTTGCCAGTCTGGGTCATTAGATGAGTTTGATGTCAAGGGAAAGGTAGTGTTATGTGACAACTATGAAGAATTTAATGCAGTAGCACAAGGCCAAGCAGTGAAGGATGCTGGTGGAGCTGCAATGATACTCGCCAGTGATCCTTCTGAGGACTTAATCCCCACACCAGAGTTCCATGTTCTCCCAGCATCACACATAAGTTCTGCTGATGGCAATCTCACCAAAAGTTACATCAACTCTTCTTCGTCATCACCATTGGCTACAATAATGTTCCAAGGAACTGTCCTTGGTTTGCCTTATGCTCCCCAAGTTTCTCTCAGTTCCTCGAGAGGTCCTAGCTCGGCCAGCCCTGGCATCTTGAAACCTGACATCCTGGGGCCTGGATATAGAATTCTAGCTGCTTGGCCAGAATCCATGGATAACAAAAACAACACCAAATCAACATTTAATGTAATCTCAGGGACCTCTATGGCTTGTCCTCATCTTGCAGGAATTGCTGCATTGCTTAAAAGCTCACACCCTGATTGGTCCCCTGCTGCCATCAAATCTGCAATCATGACCACTGCTGATAGTGCTAATCTTGCAGGTGATCCAATCACTGATGTGCGATTTGTCAAGGCTGATCTTTTTGCTACTGGTTCTGGCCAAGTGAACCCTACAAAGGCCAACGATCCAGGGTTTATATATGATATTCAGCCTGATGACTACATCCGCTACTTATGTGGACTTGGTTACAGTGACACATTAGTGGAAATTATTGTGCAGCATAAAGTGAGTTGCTCCCAGAATTTGAGCATACCTGAAGCACAACTAAACTACCCTTCATTTTCCATCACACTGAGCTCCACAACCCGTAGTTACACCAGGACAGTGACAAATGTAGGAGCTGCCAACTCATCCTATAGGTCTGAAATCCTTGGCCTGCAAGGAGTTTATGTTAAGGTGACACCTGCTTCAATTGTTTTCACTGAGGTGAACCAGAAGGCGAGCTATTCAGTGACATTCAGCAAAGAAGGAAGCTTCACAAGACCTTCAGCTCACGGGTATCTCAGGTGGGTTTCCAATGATCACAATGTTACAAGCCCTATTGCTGTTAAGTTTGAGTTTCAGTAATGGTTTCAGGGCTACGTAGCCTTTGTAGAAGTGTAGTGTAATTGTAAGCTAGCTATCAGTCAAGAATATGCTTAGGAAGCAAGGAAAGATCGAAACGTGAGAAGTTTATTTAGTTTCTTTGATAAACCCCTTTGTTGTGGGTAGGTCTTTTATTCTAATATAAGCTGGAGACAACCATAGCCTTTTAGACTAAAGGTTTCACATCTGAGATGAGGGAGACAATCTAAAGAATAAGCTATTCTGATTCTGCTACATGTCAAGATGGACATGTTATGCTACATTCTGCAGTCGAAACATGGAAAAGTATAAGGTGTTGTAAAAGATGGTTGATTTTAATGTACTGTAATCTTTATACAACCACCATAGGTCTTGGTTTTGGTTTAACCACAAAAATAATCTTCCCACCCCTACCAACAGATGTGTTGTTATTTAAACTTTAAAGTGTTTTGTGTACACACACAAATTCAAATGGGACAAAATCTCTTCAATAAGAGTTTTGGACACTTACCTGGATCCCCAACCCTTGCACCTGAATAATTCCAATAAAGCAAATGTTCAGTACCAGAACTCTTTAACCTGTCCAAAATCCTTATCATTGTTTAGATCGAAGAGTTTCACTTCCTTCTGCCTCTCAACCTCTTCTCATTAGTTCCTATATATCTATTCATGGCCCTGCAGGAAAACTTCATCCAAACCATTTTGTATGAACCAATGAGTTCCAAAATGCTGCCAACACATTCATCCTTCCTCCTTCTGATCCTTACTTTCACTATCACCTCCTCGTCGGAAATTTCAGAAACCTACATTGTCTTTGTCCAGAAACCACCAGCAATCGCAACAGCAGCAGAATCTCAAGATCTGAACAACTGGTATAGAACTTTTCTACCAGAAGTCACAACGTCTTCAGCCTCAACCTTGAACGAAGACCGTATGGTACACTCGTACCATACCATCCTCACAGGTTTTGCTGCAAGACTTACTGCAGATGAAGCCAAGGCAATGGAATACAAGCCAGGATTCATCTCTGCCCGCCCTGAGAAGACCATGCATCTCCATACAACTCACAGCGCCAGATTCCTTGGCCTGCAAGAAGACCGTGGCCTCTGGAACCTCTCAAACTACGGCAAGGGAGTAATTGTAGGAGTTCTAGACACTGGGATTGCGCTGAATCATCCATCATTCGACGACAAAGGTATGCCCCCTCCACCAGCAAAATGGAAAGGCAAGTGTGAATTCAAGAGGAAAGTCTGCAACAACAAGCTCATCGGTGCTAGGAATTTCCTTTCTCCGCGCCAGAAACCAATTGACGAAAATGGACACGGGACCCACACGGCAGCCATAGCAGCTGGAAGCCCAGTTCAAGGAGTGAGTTACTTCGGGCAGCTCAACGGCACTGCAACAGGGATAGCTCCTTCGGCGCATCTGGCGGTCTACAGAACATGTAATGCTCTAGGCTCGTGCAAAGAGACCGACATATTAGCTGCAATGGATGCTGCAGTCGAGGACGGTGTCGATGTACTATCGCTCTCGCTTGGTACTGGGTCGACTCCATTTTTCGAAGATGGCATTGCAGTTGGTGCATATGGTGCAGTTCAGAAAGGCGTCCTTGTCACTTGTTCCTGTGGGAATTTAGGGCCGGGTAAGTCTTCATTGTCAAATGAAGCTCCATGGATCTTAACAGTGGGAGCAGGCACGACGGATAGAAGTGTTAGAGCAACAGTGAAGCTTGGAGGAAGCAATGTAGAATTTCATGGGGAATCCTTGTTCCAACCTAAGGGCATCCTGCCTTCCAAGATGTTGCCTTTAGTTTATGCAGGCAATAATGACCACCCGATGTCAGCATTTTGTGAGCCAGGGTCCTTGAAAGGTGTCAAAGGCAAGGTGGTGTTGTGCCGGTCTGATGGAAGCCAGATGGGAAGAATTTGGAAAGGGAAAGAAGTAAAAAGAGCTGGTGGAGCTGCAATGATACTAATGAATGACAAAATTACCGGGTTTGAAACCACGCCTGAGCTGCACGTACTGCCAGCTTCTGAGGTCAGCTACAAAGATGGAATGAAGATCAAGAGGTACATCAACTCAACCTCATCACCAAATGGAACATTAGTTTTCGAGGGGACAGTTTTTGGTGTCACATATGCTCCCCAGGTAGCAACATACTCCTCGAGAGGCCCTAGTTTGGCGAGCCCTGGGATCTTGAAACCAGACATCCTTGGCCCAGGAAACAGGATCTTAGCTGCTTGGCCAGATGGCGGCGGCTCGAATCGAGAACCAACTTTCGAACTGATGTCAGGCACCTCAATGGCTTGCCCACATCTGAGTGGGGTTGTTGCCTTGCTTAAAGGTTCCCACCCTGAGTGGTCACCTGCTGCGATAAAATCTGCAATCATGACCACTGCTGATATGAATGACCTTGGAGGGGATCCCATTACTGATCAACAGTTTGAGGAAGTCAATTTGTTTGACACTGGTTCAGGTCATGTGAACCCAAACCGGGCGAATAAACCGGGGCTTGTGTACGATATCAAACCAGATGACTACATTCCTTATCTGTGTGGGCTGGGGTACAATGATACAGAAATCGGGTTCATTGTGCAGAAAGTAGTGAAGTGTTCAACAGTGGAAAAAATGGTTGAAGGGCAACTAAACTACCCCTCGTTTTCTGCCAGATTGGGGTCTGCTGCTGCTGCCTCAGTGACTTACACCAGGACAGTGACGAATGTAGGGCCGGCTAACTCGACTTACGTAGCTCAGATTGTTGCACCGAGAGGCGTTCGTGTTAAGGTCACGCCTAAGAAGCTTCGGTTCAGGGAAGGGAAACCGTCTACAAGCTATTCAGTGACATTCAGGAGAAGAAGAAAAGGGAGCCTGGATGCAGCTTTTGCACAGGGCTATCTGGTTTGGATTTCTAAAAGATATCGTGTCCGGAGTCCCATTGCTATCACATTTGAATGATGCTGGAGCAACAGAGAGATTTACAGTTTACAAGTCTTGTTCTACACCACTACCATTTCCCCATTTTGTCTCTGCACTTACTAGTACATCAGCTGTAATTTCCATGTCTATATAGTGTTTCCTGTAACTTGATAAACCTTTTTCCCCATTCCACGCCAAACAATAGAAGGATTCACAACAACAACTTAGTACCAACATCAAAATTGGTTCTTTTATTGAAAGTAGCATCTCCAGTAAATTCTGCCAAAGATTATTGGAAGGAAGAAACAAGTTTAATTGGTATTTTGATAAATATCTGAGATGAGAATGTTGTAGAGATGGCAACAGTGCTTAGTGCTAAGGGTCTGGAATGGGCGGTCGTTCCTTCCAATTTGTAGGCAGGCACGCAGTTTCCGCCATTTGGATGATAGAGCTTCACTCATTTAGGGGTTGTACTTCGAGATGAAAAATAAAAGCATAATGTGATTGATGAAAATATCATAATATTTTTTATGATTTTAAAACGTAAATATGATCAATATGGATTAGTGATGAGGTGACATAATTCGAAAACTAAATTATCACAACTCCATATAAAACGATAATGAAGACCGCGCTCCGATAAAAAATCTCAATATCGTATTCGTTTAGAAGAGAAACAAAAATTGCGTTTTCATTATGGTCTTACAGAACGGCAATTACTTAAATACGTTCGTATCGCCTTCTTTGGCTCCTTATTGTCATTTTTATCGCCTTCCTCGTCCAAAAATCAACCTCAACTCCTGGACGTATGTGATTTAGCTCTAAAAACAGAGAAAATAACACAAGTACACACGAAAAAAGAGCAAAGACACATACGTTATACGTACACGTACATAGACCAGTAGGCAATGGAATTTATAAAAACATAGTAACAGCATAAACAGAAGGCCAGGCCCAGATCAGCCTAGTAACATGACATCCTCATGCCCACCAGTCCAAAAACAGAAAGTACAAAGCCCAAAACGAAAGCCCAAAGCCCCAGCCCCATCATATTATTTTTCACTGCTATTTCTTTTTTTTTTTCATTATTCGCCTTTATTAACGCTTTTCTTGCCTGCTGTACTCTTCCCTTCTGGTCGCAGACTCAAACCCGCCACCGCCCTTCGCCGCTCCACCGACTCCCTCGTCGTCATCCGCTGGTTGTCCGATCACCATGTTCTTAGTCTGCTGTGCTATCTCCACTATAGTCTCGCCGATGGCTCCCAACACTCCGCCGCCGCTTTCCTCGTCTCCTTCCTCCCCTCCTCCTCCTCCCGTCGTCGTCTCCGTTGACCACTTCTCCGTCGTGAATTCTCCTCCTCCGCCGCCGCCGCCACCGATTTCTGCTCTCCCCTGAAACCCCTCATTATATTAAATCCTCCAATTAGACAAAATCATACGCTAATCTCCGATAAATTAAGACCTTATTTCAACTATGTAAACAAATTTTACCTTCCTCGCGCTCCCCTCCAGTTCCCGTTGCGCCTCTTCCTTCTTCCTCGCCGTGTACTCTTTCGCGCTCTCCCCAGTCGTCCCCACCGCGCTCTTCACCGCCCCCAGCGGCTTCCCCGCCAGCTCCGCCGTCTTGTGCCCGGCGTACTCCGCCGCACCCTTCACCGCCCTCGCCGCAGCCTTCGTCCCCTCCACGGTCTTCTCCGTCGTGTAATGCGCCGCCGTCCACCCCGCCGCGGCCGCCTTCTCCCTCACGTCCTCCGCCACTTCCGCCACGTAGTGAACCGCCCCTTTCCCGCTTTCAACGGTCACGTCCTTCGCCGCCACCGCCTTCTCCACCGTAAAGTCCTTCGCCTTGCTAGCGTACTCTTTCGCGGTTTGGGCTACGGTATGGCTCTTCTCCGCCGCGGTGTCCTTCGCCTCCCTCCCCTTCTCCGTCACGTATTCCGACGTCCTCTGAGCTCCTCCCGCGGCGGTGTCTTTCGCTTGGGCCGCCTTCTCAGTCAGGTACTCTGTTGTCTTCTGAGCACCTCCGGCCACCGTGTCCTTCGCCTGCCTCCCTTTATCCGTAGCATACTGAGCACCTCCGGCTGCTGTGTCTTTTGCCTGCTTCGCCTTCTCACTCAAGTACTCCGTAGTCCTCTGAGCGCCTTCAGAGGCCGTCTCTCTTGCTCGCGCCGCCTTCTCCGAAGCCAATTCGGAGGCTCGCTGAGCTCCCTGAACCACGGTGTCTTTCGCTTGCGCGCCTTTCTGCCGGGCCGTTTCGGAAGCTACACGGGCCTTTTCCGCCGCCGTGTCTCTCGCCTGGGCAGCCTTCTCTTGAGCCGTCTGAGAAGCTCTCTGAGCTCCTTCTCGAGCACTTTCCTTGACTTGACCGCCCTTCTCTTGCACGGCCTGAGAAGCTCTCTGAGCTCCTCCTCTGGCAGTTTCCGTGGCGCCGGCGCCGCCAGAATGCTCGTGGCTACCCTGCTTCTCCTCGTACCTCTGTTGGGCACCCCTGATAGCCTCGGCCGAATTCTGCTGAGCAGCTCCTCTGAGCTTGGAGATGTCGGAAAGAGAGAGTTGTTCTCCTTGATTAGTGTGGCCAGTAGTACCACCACTCTTCTCCCGGCCGCCGCCGTGGCCTCCCTCTGTTTCCCTGGTGACTTCAAATTTGCCGACGGCATAGGTCCCGGTGCCGGACGGCTTGGTTTCGTCGTGATCGTGGTGGGTCAGGGACTCGAAATGGGAGGCGATCTTGGGGACTCTGTCTTTCTCCAAGTGAATCTCCCGTTCCGTCGTCTTGTTGTCTCTCCTCGACTGCTGTCCGGACGCCATTGTTTTCGCCTTTGCTGAAAATTCGTAACCTGGTTTGCTTGCTTTTCTTCTTCTTTGTCTGTGATTTGTGGGAATGTAGTGGAAGATAGTGGCTGATCGATTGGTGAAGGGAAATGGAGAGTGGGAATGGAGTTAAAAGGGCAGGGGATTGGGAGCGGATAGGAACTACAGGGGAGGAGAATGGCGGTGGTGGGATTGGTGTGTTGGAGGAAGGCTGCCACGTGTCAGGGAGGGGGAGAACTGACTCAGCTTTCTGACTGACACGTATGAGATAGATAGCGAAGGGAAGACGCAAAGGGAAAGGGAAAGGAGTCTGTAGAAGGTGGCCTGGGAACTGACGCGTGGGAGTTGGCTGCTTTCTCCACGTGTTAGCAGCTCCAGAGACGAGATATTCCATTCGAATTCCGTAGGAGGGAAATTGGGGCGGCCAACGGAACTCTGTCTCCGTTCCCGCCAATTTTCAAAGTTTGTTGCAGGCTGCAGCTGCCGGCTAGATATTGATCCCTGGACTCTGCTTAATCTATCTTAACGAATAAATTAAGCGCTAATTTGAACAGATGAATGCTCGAAAAAACATACGAGAGTAAGCGATTTCTATAATAGCTCTCTATCAACTTGGTTAAAAATTCTGAATATTGTCTAAGATTGCCTCAACTGAAACCACCAATTGGTGAGAATGATTGCTGCTGGAAGTACTGTCAAAGGAGCAAGCTTTTATAGCTAGCTCAATGGCACGGCAATTGGGATAGCTGCATTAGCTCATTTGGCAGTATACAGAGTTTGTGATGCAATTGGTGCCTGTAAAGAAGCAGACATATTCGCAGAAATGGGGAGGATGGTGTTGATGTTCTTTCGTTATTGCTTAGGGAGGAACTGGTTCTTCTCCCTTCTTTCATTTTGTGCATTTGCTGCATATCGAAAGGGTGTTTCGGTTTCTTTATCAGCATGGAATTCAGGTCCAAAGAGATCATCATTATCAAATGAAGCTCCATGTGTATTGACAGTTGGAGCTGGTGCCGTGGACAGAATCGTGGGAGCAACAGTAAAGCTGGAGACAAAGCAGAAGTTTATGGGGAATCATTTACAATATAAAAAAAAAGAAGTTTACTTCCACCAAAAAAAAAATGTTTATGGGGAATCTCTTTACCAACCAAATTATTTTGATTCCAAGTTGTTTCCTCTTACCTCTGCAGCTTCGAATGGCAACAAACCGGTATCTGCATTCTGCAACCCTGAGTTCCTTAGGAGGTGTTAATGTCAAAGGGAAGATGGTATCTGTGGAGTAGTTCAGAAAGAGCTAGAAGTGATGGTCGGTAGTGCTGCAATGATACTCATGAACGACCAAAACAATACCTTTGCTGGGTTATCTGATTTACACGAGCTACAAACATTACTTGCCAGTTATCTTGATGGCAATCAAGAGTTGCATGAACTCCAGTTCATCACCAATGGCTACATTGCTCTTCCAAGGAACAGTATTTGGAACCTCATATGCTCCCCAGGTTTGCAACGTTCTCCTCTAGAGGCCCTAGCTTACAGAGCCCTGGAATACTGATCAAAGAATCGTTCCGGTGGATGTTTTTGCCATTGGTCCTGGCCATGTGAAACCATCAAAGGCAGCTGATCCAGGGCGATATCCTGCCAGAAGACTGCATTCCTTACTAATGTGGTCTGGGGTACAGTGATACACAAGCTGGGATCATAGTTCAGGAGAGAGTGACTGTTCACTGTTCAGAGAAGACGAGTATGCCTGAAGCAAAGCTCAACTATCCTTCTTTCATATTTGGGGTATGCTTCCTTGACATACAGTCGAACAGTAACCATATTTGGGGTATCCTGAAGAGCTTCAGTTTAGTAACGCGAATCAGACAGCATCATATTCAATTAAGTTCAGCAGAATCACAGATCCCTAATGTACCTTTTGCACAGGGCTTCCTAACATGGATTACTAAGACGAACGCTGTGAGAAGCCCAATTACTGTCACATTTCAGTGAAGAATTATGCTGTAGAAAACTATATCAGCCTGAGGTTCCATTAAAGTTTTCAAAATGAAGCAGCAGAAAAGCTAAGTGTGTTTCAATTTTCAGGGTTTTCAAAGCCTCTTTCTAGATCAGGCTGGTGTCTATGCCATCAACAGATTGTTTCCCCTCCCCTTTTGGGGGATTTTCTCTTATAGTTTGCCCGCAAGTAACAATTGATACTGCCTAGTTGCAGACAGCAAGCATTAATATGACATCTTGTGTTTCTCACAAGATGGAACTCTCTCCTGCAGAAACCAATTCTGAACCATAAATGTCAGGGACAGAACCAAAACTCCAGAAAGTTTCGAACTATAAAATGCCAGTTAGCATAAACTCAGCTTGGTTATGAGTCAATGACCTCAGATCACACTCAGCTTTTGCAACAAAAAGGAAAGCACCGGAGATCCTTAACTCTGTATAACAACGAACACATCAGAAACTTGGACCTCACAAGCTTTGGAAAATGTTGCGTGAAAAAATGTCCGATACCCCCAAGACTTCACAAATGCGTAGAAAGTACTGAATAATCCTCCAGAGTCATAACTACTGAATCTGAAACGATGGGCAGATCAACAAATGTCAGGATTAAGTTGAAGATACATCCAAAGATAGATAAATGTAGGAGCCAAAAACAAGTTCCAAGCCAAGCCAGGAACTTTGCTTTCTGGTCGCAATCAAGCCAGGAACTTAAAGACAAAACCAAGCATTGTAACCTCGGCCGGCTTATCTTACCAACTAATTATTTTTTTAATAACTGTGTAGTAATGTAATGACGACAAAAAAACTGAGAAAAGGTTCCTTGAGGAGTTGCAGAAGAAAGAAGATGGAAGGTTGAAACAATCAGCTCAAAAGACCCCTACTACCCGAAATTCAAAGGCAAATGGCAGATGCAGGCCTGCTTCTCCCCTATTCTGTTTCTTTCGTTTGTTCTGTTGTTCAACATCCATTTTCTTCTAAACAAAAGATATCACAAGCGAGGAAGAAGATAAAACTAGACCAGCTCAACAGAGTGGTCTTGGGTGCAAGTCAATTGGAAAGCAAATGGAGATGTCCGCCATGAGAGTACAACTGTGAAAACAATATAGCCGGCCACAACAATGAACCAATCTATATATTCAATCATCACCTGAAGTGGATTCAACCCAAAAAAAAGCATCTTCCTTTGTTTCCTTTCTTTCCATGAAACAAATAAGCCTCAGGAACACAATGGCTCTTGTTTATCTATTCTGTCTCATTATCTTTCTCCACTCCAACTCTCACCATGCGCAAGCAATCAAACCCACAGCTGAAGTAGCAGCAGACCAGAAAGAAAGCCAGCAAACCTACATTGTCCATGTCAAGAGAGCAGCCGGCACAACTTTAGCCGAGTCAGCAGATAACAAGGCTTTTTACCAGTCATTTTTACCAATCACCATCGCGAGCTCCGAGCAGAATGACCGTTTGCTCTATGCTTACGACCATGTATTCACCGGCTTTGCAGCAAGGCTTACACCAAATGAAGTGAATGCCATGGCAAAGAAGGATGGGTTCGTGAGAGCTTACCCTGAAAGGATATATAATCTCCAGACGACAGAAACCCCCCAGTTCTTGGGTTTGCAACAGGAGCTGGGATTCTGGAATCAGTCAAACTTCGGCCGGGGTGTGATTATTGGAGTACTGGACTCAGGAATTGCTCCTGGTCATCCTTCATTCAATGACGAGGGAATGCCACCACCTCCTTCCAAGTGGAAAGGCAAATGCGAGTTCAACGGATCAGAATGCAACAACAAGCTTATTGGTGCAAGGACTTTTGATCTTGCAGCTAAGACAAAGAACGGGACAGCAGGCTCACCTGCCGACGAAGATGGACATGGAACTCACACATCAAGTACAGCTGCTGGTAGCTTTGTTCAAAATGCCGATGCACTTGGAAATGCAAAAGGAACTGCGGTTGGAATGGCACCTCAAGCTCATTTAGCAATGTACAAAGTGTGCCCCCTTGATCACTGTGCTGGGAGTGACATACTAGCTGGGCTTGATGCAGCTATCCATGATGGAGTCGATGTGATCTCAATCTCATTGGGTGGGGAACCCGGTACTCCCATGTATGAGGACATGATTGCAATTGGGTCCTATGCAGCAATGCAGAAGGGGATATTTGTCAGCTGTGCTGCTGGAAATTCCGGTCCTTCTAACAGTACAGTATCTAACGAAGCCCCATGGTATCTCACGGTGGGGGCAAGCACATTAGATAGAAAACTTTCTGTATCAGCAAAGCTAGGAAATGGAGAAGAACTTGAGGGTGAATCCCTTTCAAGAAACTTTGGTCCAACAGTAGCATGGTCTATCTTTGATGCTGCAAGCATCAACGGCCAACCAACATCTAAATTTTGCGGAAAGGGGGCTCTGAATGGTACAGATCTGAAGGGAAAGATTGTCCTGTGTGAGAGAGGCGGTGGAGTTTCTAGAGTTAGCAAAGGCATGGAAGTGAAATCTGCAGGTGGAGCAGCCATGATTCTCGTGAATGGAGAGGCAGACGGCTTCAATACTATAGCTGATGCTCATGCCCTTCCTGCTACCCATGCCAGCTTTGATTCAGCTCAGAAGATTAGAGCTTACCTGAACTCAACAAGCACACCAATAGCTTCACTGTTGTTCAAAGGAACTGTCGCAGGGAACAACTCATCAGCACCTGTTGTTGCTTCTTTCTCATCTAGAGGGCCAACACTGGAAGCAGTGGGAATTTTGAAACCTGATATTATTGGGCCTGGAGTGAACATTCTAGCTGCATGGCCATTCCCCCTGGATAAAAGTACAAACACGAAGTCAACCTTCAATGTTGAATCTGGAACATCAATGTCATGCCCTCATCTCAGTGGCATTGCAGCATTGCTCAAAAGCTCTCATCCTACTTGGTCACCAGCTGTCATAAAATCTGCCATGATGACGTCTGCTGATCTGCTTAATAGGGAAGGCAAGCAAATTGTTGATCAGAATCTTCAGCGTGCCGACTTCTTTGCCACTGGAGCGGGCCAGGTGAATCCAACTAGAGCGAATGACCCAGGTTTGGTCTACGACATCCAGCCTGATGACTATATACCTTATCTGTGTGGGCTACGCTATACCAATGATCAAGTTGGGATCATAGCAAATAAACCCGTCAACTGTTCACAGCAGAAAACTCAATCTTCTGGGCAGTTGAACTACCCTTCGTTTTCTGTAACACTGGGAGGACCTCCACAGACTTTCTCAAGAACAGTGACAAACATTGGGGAAGCAAACTCATCGTACATTGTAACAATCCTTCATCCGGCAGGAGTTGATGTGATTGTCGAGCCCTCAAATTTGACATTTGCGGAAGTGGGTCAAAAGGCGACGTATACAGTCACATTCAGTCGTGTTGCAAACAGTAATGTCGCCAGTGGTTTTGCTGAAGGATTCATCAAATGGGTTTCTGATAAGCGAGTTGTCAGGAGCCCGATCTCCGTAATGTTCAAGTAAGAGACCATGCTCCTACATACATTCAACGGTATAACAAGGAATTAGTCAAGCGAAGTGCCGGCTGAGAATGGCAGACCTCCAAGAAGGACACGATAGATCTTATGGAAAAGGTTATCACTATAACGATGATAACTTCTAATCCAATTTCAGCTATTTAAAATGACAAAGAATGAACCAACAACAACAAAGACTTTTGTCTTATTTATTTGATTAACAGCTGGGTCGGATTTCAACGCGACCCTTTTTCCATTAGTGGCTCTTTTTTTCTCAAGATTTGGAATTTCCACACGACCCCTTTGAGTTGACACAGTCTGGTTCAATCCACAGTAAGAGATTATCATTTGATCCATGCAGAAAGCTACCATTTTTATCAACTGTTGGCAATTCATTATATTTTGTATTTCTCAAGACACTCTTACTAGGCCATTGCAGAAAGTTTGGAACCATAAATGTGAAGGAGCAAGTCAAAATACGAGAGAGGTTTTAGTCCACATCACTGATCTTGCCACAGAAAGTGGCCAGCCACACTGTGATGAAAAAAGTTAAGATCTCAGAGTCCTCAAGTGTTTGCAACAAAAATGGAAAGTACCATGCATGTTTAATCTATCACGAATAATAAATGAATCAGAAACTTGTACCTCTCGAGGACTTAGTTGATGTACAGTCAAGAATGTTTCAGGGAAAACGTATGTGATCCTGATTCCTGAAGACTTCAGAAGCTCATGGAAAGAACTGGATAATCCACATCTTTCACAACCAGTAAAATCTGAAACAATCGAGAGAGTAACAAACATCATGAGCAAGCTGCAAATACATCTAGGGCTAAATGAATGGAAGAAGCCAAACACTAACCAGCAGATGCAGGCCTGCTTCTCCTATTTTGTCTTCTTTCTTTGGCTTTATGGTTCACATCCATTTTCTTCTACAACAACATATATCACTAAATCAGGAAAAATAATATGATTGATCGGAAGAGTGTAGAAGATTTACTAGTTAAATGGAAGTAATTGGATGACAAAATGTTAAATAAAATGAACCTGGCATGGCAAGAAAAGTCATAGTCACCAGGATTAAAGAATTGAATGGTCGTCATGAGAATCAATTGATTAAAACAATGCAGTCGAATTTTGGTCAAGGTGTAATCATTGGAGTACTTGACACAGGAATCCTCCCTGGTCATCCTTCATTCAATGACAAGGGAATGTCACATCCTCCTTCAAGGTGGAGAGGCAAATGCGAGTTCAAAGGATCATACCACAACAACAAACTTATTCGTGCAAGGTCATTTGATCTTGCAGCTAAGACAAAGAACGGGACAACAGGCTCACCTGTCGACGAAGATGGACATGGGACTCACACGTCAAGTATAGCTGCTGGTAGCTTTGTTCAAAATGCTGAAGCACTTGGAAATGCAAATGGAACTGCGATTAAAATGGCACCTCATGCTCATTTAGCAATGTACAAAGTGTGCTCTATTGATGGCTGTGCTGGGATAACATACTAGCTGGGCTTGATGCAGGTATCCATGATGGAGTCGATGTGATTTCAATCTCATTAGGGGGAGACCCGGGCACTTCAATGTATGAGGACACAATTGCAATTGGGACATATGCAGCAATGCAGAAAGGGTATTCGTCAGCTGTTCTGCTGGAAATTCCGGTCCTTTCAATGGTACAGTATCTAACGAAGCCCCATGGTATCTTACGGTGGGTGCAAGCACGGTAGATAGGAAATTTGATGTCTCCGCAAGGCTGGGAGATGGCTTAGTACTTGAAGGCGAATCCCTTTCAAGAGACTTCAATCCAACAGTAGCATGGCCTATCATTGATGTTGCCAACATCAACGATCGGCTAAGTTCATCATTTTGTGGTGAGGGAGCTCTAAATGGTACTGATATTAAAGGCAAAGTTGTCATGTGCATTAGAGGCGGTGGAGTTTCTAGAGTTAGCAAAGGCATGAAAGTGAAATCTGCAGGTGGAGCAGCCATGATACTCATGAATGGAGCGGCGGATGGCTTCACTACTGTAGCTGATGATCATGTCCTTCCTGCTACATATGTCAGCTTTAATGCAGCACAGAAAATCAGAGCTTACTTGAACTCAACAAACAAACAAACAAACAGCTTCCCTGTTGTTCAAAGGAACTGTCATTGGAAACTCATCAGCACCTGTTGTCGCTTCCTTCTCTTCAAGAAGGCCCAAAATCGAAGCTGTGGGGATTCTGAAACCAGACATTATTGGGCCAGGAGTGAGCATTCTAGCTGCATGGACATTCCCTCTGGACAAGAAAACAATCTCAAAATCAACCTTCAATGTTGTATCTGGAACTTCAATGTCATGCCCTCATCTAAGTGGTATTGCAGCCTTGGTTAAAAGTTCTCATCCTTCTTGGTCGTCAGCTGCAATCAAATCTGCCATGATGACTACTGCTGATCTGCTTAACATGGAAGGCAGGCCCGTTATCGATCAGAATCTTCAACGAGTAGACCTCTTTGCCACTGGAGCAGGCCATGTGAATCCAACAAGAGCAAATGACCCAGGTTTGATATATGACATTCAACCTGTAGACTATATACCTTATCTGTGTGGACTAGGCTATACTGACGATCAAGTCACGATCATTTCACATAAATCCATCAACTGTTCACAACAGAAAACTCAATCTTCAGGGCAGTTGAACTACCCTTCATTTTCTGTGACACTGGGAGGAGATCCACAGACTTTTTCAAAGACCATAACAAACGTCGGGGAAGCAAACTCAAGCTATGTCATTACAATTCTTCAGCCGGTGGGAGTTGATGTGATTGTCAAGCCCTCCAATTTGAAATTTTGGAAAGTGGGTCAGAAGGCAACATATACAGTCACATTCAGCCTTGCCACAAGTAATCACATAACCAGTGGATATGCTGAAGGCTTCATCAAATGGATTTCGTATAAGCGATTTGTCAGGAGTCCCATCTCTGTACTGTTTGGGTAAGAACCCTACTCCTACATTTAGAAGTGGCACCAAGGAGTTAGTCAAGGAAAGGCCATTTTAAAAGGAGAAGACGAAATTCCTGAAAGAATTTATCTCTATGAAGAGATCAATATCACGACAGCTGAACAAATTTGAGCTAAAGTAAAATGAACAGACTTCAGTAAGCGGTTTGGTTTTATTTTTCAAGATTTAAGAATTCCCATACAACCCATCAATGGTTCAATTAGTAAGAGATAGCATTTGATAAATCCAGAATGCTACCTTTTTAAATCATGTCGAACTATCAAATTTTCCACACTTGCGTTTCATCACAATTCATCCTTGATCCATGGCTTTCAGCAGTGTAAAAAACCTAATAGAAAAAAGAAAGGGCACCATGACATTTAGTTTCTGCCGAAAGATTCTCAAATTGCTACAACGCAACACTGCCTTCTGTCCTTCTGAAGTGTCTAGTAGTTTATATTTCCTTCTTCTTAAAGAAATGAAAAGTAGCCACTCAGGAAGCTATAGTGTATCCTCTCCATGAATGTTCTTCCAACAACATGGTTCCAAATCTCTTAGTTGTTGCGGACAACCCTAAGACGTTAAGAGGCTAGAAAGTCAAACAAGATTCTCTTTCTTTCAATAGATTATGCTCTTTGAAGTAACATCCCCCAACAGACAATAATGCATGTGACTGCAACATAAAATTTCAGAAGAGGATACGTTTCTTGTTTTGCTAAATAGATCTCATATAGACTTCTATATTCTACCTCGAATATAACAAACAAATTAGCATATTAGTCTGATCAACTTCACCCACTAGCTCACAAGACCAAGATTCATTAGGATTAGAGATCAGTACCTATATAGCTCATATCGAGCATCTACCAAAATCATCTGAAACATGATCTTCAATGCCGAATCAGTAGCCAATCATTGTGCATATCAACACCACCAACTATTCCGGTTGAGCGTCTTCAGAGTAGTTTCAAATCAGATCGACTCATCAACCAAAACCAGGAGGTACTTCAGGATACTCATCACTATCATCACACGGTTGATTCACTCCCTCCATAAGAAAGCCAGAGGGAATGCTCACATCAACATTGTATACCTCTAACACATTATCTGAATGGTTGGGACGTCCATTGTGTTCTTCTACTTCTACAGGCCTTTCTCTAGACATTGGTGGCTATGAATCCTCACGTACATTACCATTGTTTTGATAACCATCTGGCAGACATAAACATGGTGGTTCATTATACTCGTTGTCAGGCAAGTCATCACCTACTGCACAAGTTTGTGCATTGATGATACTAACTTCATTCTGGACAGACACTACATTACGAGAACCAAATTTGGCTGCATTCTTCTTTTCAGGCTCTGCCCATTTATCATACACAGATTGTACTGTATCTGTGATTTCATTGCTCATATCCTCGGATTTTATTATTCCCCAAAGGCTATCTAACACCTTGGTCATCATCGCATTCCTAGCATTCACAAACAAAGAGTGGACATTAGTGGCAACTCTGATTGGTAATGTACTTTGCAATGCGACCTTAATACGAGAAATTATTGAGGAACCAACCAACTGAAATTAATTGCAACTTTAAACACTAAAGTAACCAGGTGACAAGTGTCCTCCATACCGGAAGTTATCCTTAGATATAGCAGACTTGTAATCCCTGAGCAGCTACATTAAGTCGTCCATTCAGAGATATAATGAAGACTTACCCAACCTCATCAAAAATAGCATCAGAAATCTGTCTTGGCTTCATATTTGCACCGCTATCACGATTTAGAGCAGCTGACTGCCGACAATGGAGATAATGCCGCTTCGGAATTCTTCCTGCCAATAAAGCTCTTCATCAGGAAAAGTGTTGATGGTGTAGTAAAATTCACACATACAAGAACCACTTAAGTTGTTGTTTTCTTGTGTTCTCACTTTTCAGCAAAATGTTATTTTATTGTGGTAGACTTCGCTCTCTTGATAGCCCGTTTTGAAAGTTACAGACCTTCCCTATGTTGTCATTTTATTCCTATTGCTAATATAGTGTTAAGTCTTTCTTAGAACAATCAAGCACCACGACAAATCTTCCCAAAAGAAGTCCTCAAACCCTGAGCACTGCAAGCAGTTGATGCTCCTAGACATAGATGCAACATTGCCATAAATCTTGTGACATGGAAGAAGGCTATTGAAGGACATAAGGAACTTCCCCTGTCAATATCAGTCACTCCATGGACAAAGCAACTCACCTTTCTCTACTTCGAAGACTGGAAAGCCAACAATCCTCATTTGAGCTTCAAAAAGCCCCTAGCGAAACCCCACATATCAATTCCAAGGCAAAGTTTAGACAATGCAAACAGAAGGACAATCCGACTATTCAGCCACATATCGGAAATTTTCAAATCGCATGCTCAATTGTCAAATCAAATCGAAGGAACAAGAAAGAAATATAGACGAGAAAACGAAAAACCAAACAAGAAAAAGAGAGGGAAGGGTTTCGTTAAGTCTGAATCGTGTTTCATACATTGTCTTTGAGCTTCCGGATGATTTTAAGCCGGAGATTGTCGAAGTCACCGTCGTCCTTAAGCTTGGCAATCACATCGTCTTTGATTACTCTCTTCCTATTGTTCGGCTGTTCTCTGGTGGCGCTATCCCCGTCCATTGTTTGTTCACTTTGTTGCGGGACGGGATACAATAACAACACTGAATGTGTTGTTATAATAACAACAGGGGTAAAAGGGTCACATTGACCCAAAATTAATAAAATAAAATTTAAATAATTCACTTTGTCGGCTCATGCGCTCTCTTCCTCTCCAACAAAAATTGCTCCCAGTTCCAGATCTATATTCCATTCTCCGGCGACGGTTGTCTTTGTTCTTGACGACAAAATCTCGGTCTCTTCTCTTTCGCCGACGGGATGGCAGAGACCAACCCGCTTTGATCCTTCCTCCTCCCATCGCCATTCTTTCTCAACACAAGAGACGGCGACAGACTCTAAGAAAATTGGCCCGGTCACCGAGGATATCGAGACTAGAGGGACTCCCCCCAGATCGGCGATTCTCGCTCCCCTGCTGCTCTACCCCAACTCGTTTCTCTCTGGCTCTCCTCGTCCTACAGCTCCGTCGCTCTTTTCCCCTCTTAGAGCTTCACAACCATGGCAGCATCGGCTGCTGACGACTTCGTTGAGATTCGCTGCTGCCTCGCTGCGACTCGTTTTTCCCCGGTTCTAAATCTTCTGCAACTCCATCGCTCTTCCCCCTCCTAGAGATTCGCGAACATGGTGATGGCTGCGGACGAGTTTGTCAAGAGATTATTCATTCTGAAGACCTTAGTGCTCCGATTGCTTTTCTCTCTCGTCACTTTCGTTCATTAGTACTTCTCCAGTCCAATTGTTAATTCTTGATATGAATTGAGTGGACAATGGAGAGTTTAATTGATATGACTTCAATAGCCTGTTATGTCGATTTGTAATTGTTTAGCTCCAGGAGAAGAGCTATTTGTCAAGTTTGTTTCCAATTTGTTTCTGATAAATCAAACCACACATAAATTATAAACACACCAAAAATATAATTAAATTAAATTAAACTTCCCAACATTTAATTAGGTAAGTTTACCCTTACACACCAGAAACTTCATAAAACAAACTACAAACAGGGTAAAACAAACCATAAAAAAGCATACCAAAAACCCCCCAATGCATGCCACAAATTCCATAAAACAAATCAGAAACACCACAAACCAAACCACAAATATTTTGAAAGCACACCAGAAAACTCACAACACAAACCATAAATACCGTAAAGCAAACCACAAAAACAAACCAGAAACGTCCTAATGCAGACCAAAAATATATTAAAACAAACCAGAAACCTCACAAAGCAAACCACAGAATTTTCAAAAACACACCAGAAACCTCATAATGCAAACCACAAACACGTTAAAGCAAACCACAAAAACAAACTAGAAACCTCCTAATGCATACCACAAATATCCTAAAACAAACCACAAACCCCTCAATGCAAACTACAAATTTTTTGAAAGCAAACCAGAAACTTCTCAATGCAAACCACAAACACGATAAAGCAAACCAGAAACTTCTCAATGCAAACCACAAACGCGATAAAGCAAACCACAAAAGGCATACAAAAATGTGAGAAACCAAACCATAAATCTCACAATGCAGACCACAGCATCCGGTGGTCGTTGACCGTTGACCGGTCAACGAAGTTCGTTGACCGAACTCCGATGACCGTCAGTTACCGGATTCCGACCCCGATGACTAGATTCCGACGCCGGTAAGCATATTCCGACGTCGGTAAGCATATTCCGGCGTCGGTAAGCATATTCCGGCGACGATGACATATTCCGATGACAGAAAAGCATATTCCGGCGACAAAAAAGCATATTCCGGTGACCGGCGACCAGTTTCCGGCGACCGGTGGCCTAATTCCGGCGACCAAATTTTTTGGCCGAAAATAAAAAAATATTTTTTATTTTTTATTTTTTATTTTTTTAATTTTTTGTTATTATTTAAATATATTTTTCATAATGACAATTATACCCCTGCTTTGATTTTACACTAGGTCAACTCATCTAATAAAAAGTCATCACAACCCTACTTTCCTATTGGTTGGAGACTAGTGTTGTTACAATAACAACAAAATATGTGTTGTTATAATAACGGCTCCCGCTCCTTTGTTGTTACTATAACAACAGGATTCATTAAGGGTAATAGGGTAATTTAACATAAAAATAAATAAAAATAAAATCTATTTAATCCATCTAGAATTTTCGATGCTGCGAAATCTTCCCTTCCCCGATTAGGGATTCTCCTTCGCCTCCGCCCAGCTTTTCTTCTCCGCCTCACTATTCTTTTCGTCCAGACTCGGCGCAGGTCCGGCAACCCACGTCGCTTCGTTTCGCGATATACTGGGAAGAGCTTCCACCAACATATGGTGCCGGGACGCCAACATCAGCAGCCAGAAGGCCACTGACCACCACCGCAACCACCACGATGACATACAACACCCACCCGTTCCAGCTGCTGGAGATCAACGTGATCTCGGCGCAGGACCTGGCGCCCGTGTCGAAGTCAATGAAGACGTACGCGGTGGTGTGGGTCCACCCGGAGCGCAAGCTGAGCACCAAGGTCGACCAAGGAGGCAACACCAACCCCCAATGGAACGAGAAGTTCGTCTTCCGCGTCCACGAAACCTTCCTCAATACTGACACCTCCTCCGTCATGATCGAGATCTACGCCGCCGCCTTCTCCGCGACGTTCAGATCGGCTCCGTCCGCGTACTCATCAGCAACCTGTTCCCCTCTGGCAACCATAACAACCACAACAACAACGCCAAGATGCGTTGATCGGGTTTGGGGATTTGGATGGAAATTCGGGTGGTTGATCGGCCATCCATTGCTGCCGTGGCGGTGGAGGAGAAAGAATTTGGGGGTGTTAGATAATCATCATAAATCCAGCGTGGTGGGTGTTAATTAGTAGATAATTAACAGGAATTAAAGTATTAACCCCATTTGTCGATTGCTTGTTTATTATTATATTCAAAAGCTCGACGTGGAAGGAATCCAATGATCAGAGAGAGCGCAGAGCAAAACTAGGATTCTGGGTTGATTCTTTTTTCTATTTAGCATGTAAAGCGTGTTCGAGAGACTATATATCATTGTTAAGGGGTTTTAAATGTATTTTAGTGTATTATTGTGTTTATCCTATGCATTTAGAAGTTATTGATATGCAGATCACTAGTCTTTAATAAACACACCAGAAACCTTCTAATGCATACCATAAATCCATTAAAACATACCATAAATCCATTAAAACATACCAGAAATTCCACAAAGCAAACCACAAATCCATTAAAACAAACTAGAAACTAGGGGTGGCTATACGGTCCGGTCCGGTTAAATTGGCCCAAATTGATCCGGTCCAGTCCGGTTTTTTTGAAAATATAAGGACCGAAGATTGGATTGGATACAGTCCGGTCTTGATCCGGTCCGGTCTTAACCCGGTCCGGTCCCAATTCGGTCTTGATTTTATATTGAGATTGTGGGAATTTGAGTGGCCTAAGGCCTAAAAGGGTGAGGAGTTGGTTAAGTTTTGTACTAAGTGCAAAGGTTTGTGACCGTTTATGCAAATTACCCTTAAGTTTTGGGTGTTGAGCTCTCTTATCCGGTCTTTATCCGGTTTTTTACCTCAAATCTAAGCCCAAAGATTGGATTGGATTGTTTACGATCCGGTCCCGGTCCGGTCTCGGTCCGGGTTATACGGTCCGGTTTCCGGTTTTTCATCCGGTCCCGGTCCAAATAGCCAGCCCTACTAGAAACCCCACAAATCAAACCATAAAATTTTCGAAAGCACACCATAAACTTCTTAATGCAAACCAGAAACACAATAAAGCAAACCAGAAACCTCCGAATGCATACCACAAATCTCCTAAAATAAACCACAAACCTCACAATGCAAACCACAACATTTGCGAAGCACACCAGAAATCTCATAATGCAAACCACAAACACAGTAAACCAAACCACAAAAAAGTAAACCATAAACGTCCTAATGCAGACCACAAATATATTAAAACAAACCAGAAACCTCATAATGCAAACCACAAAGTTTTTGAAAGCAAACCAGAAACTTCTCAATGCAAACCACAAACACGATAAAGCAAACTAGAAACACGATAAAGCAAACCACAAAAGGCATACAAAAATATGAGAAACCAAACCATAAATCTCACAATGCAGACCATAACATCCGGTGGTCGTTGGCCGTTGACCGGTCAACGAAGACCGTTGACCAAACTCCGATGACCGTCAGTGAGTAGATTCCGGCACCGATAGGCATATTCCGGCCCCGATGACTAGATTCCGACGTCGGTAAGCATATTCCGACGCCGGTAAGCATATTCCGGCGACAGTGGCATATTCCGACGCCGGTAAGCATATTCCGGCGACGAAAAGCATATTCCGGTGACCGGCTACCATTTTCCGGCAACCGGTAACAGAATTCCGGCGACCAAAATTTTGGGCCGAAAAAATAAAAAATATATTTTTTATTTTTTTATTTTTTTATTATTTAAACATATTTTCATAATGACAATTATACCCCTGCTTTGATTTTACACTAGGTCAACTCATCTAATAAAAAGTCATCACAACCCTAGCTTCCTATTGGTTGGAGACTAGTGTTGTTACAATAACAACACAAGGAGTGTTGTTACCGTAACTGTTCCCTTCTGATTCCACTTACAAATATTTCCTCGCTTCTTTTTAGACAAGAAAAATATATTAGAAAAGATTAGCTTTCATACTAAAGTAAAAATTAATATATTTGTATGGCCCGAACTTTACACATATTAAACATCATTGCCAATCTTTTCAATCTATAACTTTATGGTCTCAACTATGCATCAAATTTATGAAATTGACCAAACTCGAGATTTGACCGTTATCTTGGACGGTCAAACGCGTTGACTAACTGTTAATGCGCTACGTCACTGCCAAGTCAGCAAGACCACTTAAAAATTTTGTTTTTTCTGCCTATTACCATTTATCTTTTTTATTTTGAAGAAAATACACGACATTTTTAATTTCTTTTCCTTTTTTCTTCTTCTTTTCTTATAAAAAGGTAGTGTGGAAAACCCAAAAGTTTTAAGTAGTCTATGCTGATTTGGCAATGACGTGGCGTCTTGACCGTTAGTCAACGCGTTTGACCGTCTAAGATAACAGTCAAATATTGGGTTTGGCCAATTTCGTAACTTTGATACATAGTTGAGGCCACGAAGTTATAAATCGAAAAGATTGGTCAGGATATTTAATATGTGAAAAGTTCGGGCCATACAAATATATTAACCCAAAAAAGAAATATGCAAACCCATTTTCTGTGTCAGAATTAGTTAACTTGTTGGCGAACCTACTTAGTTACTACTAGGAGTGGCAATGGGCCGAGTTTTGCCAAACCCAAACCCATGGGTTTATCCGTAAAAAAATTCGGGGTAAAACCCACTAGGTTTGGAAAACCCAACCCGATGGGTATCCGTGGGTTCGTGGGTACCCATGGGTTTTTGTAGTAAAAAGTTTACAATAACAAGTTCCTATCAAAATAAAAACATCAATTTACCCATTCAAATTATCCACACCTAAAACACCAGTCTGAAAAATTCAAACAAATCACAAATTGTCCATACAAATTGTTCAACACCAATCTAGAAAATTCAATTGAAAGTAGGGCGACAAAATAAGTGTGGGCGGATATCAATGGGTTGGATATCCCTAAACCGAAACCCAACCCGGTGCACAGTGTAACAGGTTTAAACCTGAACCCGGTACGAAAACCGTCAACACGGGTTTTACCCTCATTGACCTAGTCGGGTCGGGTAGGGTACCCATGGGTTCGGGTTTTGTTGTTATCCCTAGTTACTACAAACAATTTAGTACAATTTAGGTGGGAAAGAAAGCTATCTGAAGTTTCAACCGAAAAAAAAAAGCAATCTAAAGCAATATAGCAGCTTTCGGTGAATTGAAAGTTTGGTCACTCATATTATCTATTTGTAACACGTTAGCCATGCGAATCATTTTTTCTTCAATTTAACCATCGACATTACAAGTTTATGTCATCTTTGGTCACTCGTTGTCTAGATTCATTAAATTTATCCCAGGTGTGGAAGGCACATTTATTACCCTCTCTACAAATATGAGAAATAGCTACTTCTCAATCTATGTTCATTATGCTTACATCGATGCTCATGAGCAATTGAACTACACATCAAGAGTCCAGCTAGACTCGAACATGCGGAACCGACGTCCCATGTCTACTTAAGGCATTTTACTGCGCCTCTCAAATCTGCTCGAATAAATGGAGTAGCTACCAAAGCTCATATGAACTCAACATTCTGTTCTGTGTGAGGATGGGATTAGTTGCTAACCTCTGAAGAGGTTAGCATCATACTAACCATCTTTGTAGCCACTAGATTATAATCACTATCCAAGGGTTATAATTAGTTTGAGGTTATCTTTGTCAATTACATAATTAATTCTCTTAACCCTAATTATAAAAATCACTCAGTCGTTTTCCTCATTCCCCAGCCTCTTTCTCACAACTTCCTCTACCACGAAAACTGCTCCTGCTATTTCCAAAGATTTAGATCTAAAATGGAGGCTAGGTTGCTAATGCTCTTTGCCGGTGAGGAACAAGAGAGCAAAACATAGGGAGAAGCGGTTGTTGGGTTCGCGGTTGAGGGTGTCTCATCGTTCCCTCGTCGACAGCATCTGTGACGGCGGCTGGTAGAGAGAGCCAACGAACCGGCGACAATCGCTAGCAGAGAAAGCTTTTTGCCGTAGAAGATCGCATCGGCTAGGAGTAGGTGACAGGCGCTTCGCTACTCGCACGTGGAACTCCTTGTGCCTCTCCTTTGCGGTTTCTCGTTGCAACGCCATCTCTGCTCTGCTCTGAAGTTGTTGGAGGTCAGGCCTTCGTACTGGAGCGGCGGATCTACGGCAATCCTTGATCCCTTAATGGATTGCGGCGGGGACAAATCTGACTAGTCATTCTTGGGATATTATTAGTGATTTGTGTTTATTTCTGAGCTCTAATGATGGCGAGCACTAATCTTAACGGTGGAAAAATTGGGTACTGTTTGCTTCTAGGATACTAACGTTAGTAGTGTTTTTCCAGTAGCAATTGTGTAGTATTGATACTTATGTTAGTAGTGTTTTCCGGTAGCAATTGTGCAGTACTGTTATTGATTCATTTTAATAAGGGTTAATAGCATTTTGTACCCCTCTACTTTTGCCAATTAACAAACGTACCCCTCTACTAATTTTTTGCACAAACGTACCCCTCTAGTATTAAAACGTAACGAACATACTCTTCCGTCTAATTTTCTGTTAAAGGACCGTTTAATGAGCTGTAAAAAGACTCATTTACCCCTCATTAACACCTACTTTTGATTTGATTATTTTAATTCTTAACCAAATTAATTAAAAAGATTAGAACTAACAAACTCATATTTCTCTACGAGAGGCCGACGTTCCGTCTTCCTCAAGGCTCCCATCAAATCCTGCACTTTGTAAACGACGACGCCGGGAGCAGGTTCGGCGGTTTCTACACGGCTCTTCTCCACACAACGGTGGTGCTCGATCTCCGACGAACAACAGTTGGTGAGGCGGCCCTCTTCTCCCAGCAGTTGTTGACGCGATTTTCTTCTCCCCGCGAACAGCAATTGTGATGCGATCCTCTTCTCCCTTCCTCTGTCCCTCCAGCATCCGGCTTTAGAGACTCCGCCAACTCGGCTGCTAGCTACCTACCCATTCACTCTATTGTGTTGCAATTATGTAAGCTACTGTCTCCTTAAACCAAACTTAATTGATTTTGTGGTTACGTTGGATTTTGTTCTAAGAGGAAAAGGTATCTTAGCATGAGCTTGTTCATTTGATTTTTGGCAGCAATCATGACTACCGAAGGTGAAAATAATAATGCAGCTG